TGATGATCTGCATGGAAAAAGCAAAAAAGCACAAAGAATCTGTTAAAAAAAAAGTTAAATGAATCAGTGAGTATATTAAAATACAATTATATTTTTACATACTATCAATGGACACTGCAAACTGAAATTTAAGAAGATTACCATTATTAATAGTGTAAGAAATGATATGATACAAATGTAATAAAAAACAGCAACAATATCCATATACTGAAGTTACAAAATGCTGATGAAAGAAATAAAAAAATCTAAATAGCGATATTCAATCTAAATAGCGATATTCTGTGTTCAATGACTAGAAGACACATTATGATGTCTACTCTTTCCATTTTACTTGATGCATTCAATACAATCTAAATTGGTATCCCTTCAGTAGATGTTGCAGAAACCAAGAATTCACTTCTAAAAATTTTATAGACAAGCAATGGAATTAGAATAATTTTGAAAAAGAATAAAAGTTGGAAGACTCATTTTACATGATCTCAAGACTTATTACAAAGTAACAATAATTACACAATGTGGCACTGCCAAGATAAAAAAAAAATCAAGGGGACAGTCCAGAAGTAGACTCCTATGTACGGTCAACTGATTTTCAAATAGGTTGAATTAATTCAATAAGGAAACAGTCCTAACAAATGATGTTAGGATTGAGGGAAATAAGCCTTATCTTATACCATATAAAAAATTAACTCAAAATGGATGATACATTTGACATGAAGGCTGAAACAATAAAACTTAAAGAAGAGATAATAAGAGGAGAGCTGTACAACTTTGCACTGAGCAAACTTAAAAGAGTACAGAAGCACAAATCATATGAGAAAAAACTAACCAAGTGAATTTAGTCAAAATTAAAGGCTCCTTTTTAAAATTATGAAAATGGAAAGGCAGGCATCAGAGTGTTATCTGTGTGGGCAAAAGTATTCTTAATCTCAACAATCCAATAAAATGAGTAGATGACTTATAAACATATTCACAAAGGAAAATATAAAAATAACCCATATAAACATAGGAGCAAATCTGTGGTGTCATTAATCATGAGGTAAATGAAAGCAAAAAGGGGTTACTATTATATACCCACTAGGGGTACTAAAATTAAAAAGCCTGAAAATTGATAAGGATGTAAGCAAGTGGAATCATAAAATGGAAAACATTCTGGTGGTTTCTTGTATTTAGACATTCATTAATTATACAAACAACCCACAATTCCATTTCTAGGTATTTACCTAAGAAATGAAAATATATGTTAATACAGAACTCATGAATAAAGGTTCATAATAGCTTTATTAATTAACAGTTCCAAACTGGAAATAATCCAAAAATTCATGAATGGGTGACATGCTCAACAAATTGTAGTAAATCAATACCATGGATCTATATTTGGTTAAAAAAATGAGAAAATCATAAATACAGAAAAGTCTCAAAAATATGCTGTGAAAGAAAGAGGAAATGCAAGTGGCCAACAGGTGTATATATTGGCTTTCTAAACAGGGAAATGAAAATCAAACCACAATGAGATGCAAGCTTACATCAGTGTGAATGGCACATAATAAAAAAATTAGCAACCACAAATGTTGGCAAAGATGTGAAAAGGAACTCTCTAACACTGCTGGTGGAAACTGCAAACTAGTCCAACCACTTTGGAAAGCTGTATAGAGGAACTTTAAACTACAAAAAAGGAGCTGACATATGACCCAGCAATTCTACTCCTAGGAATCTACCCAAAGAACACAAAAACATTAATTCAAAAGTATATCAGCAACCCTGTATTCACTGCAGCACTATTTAGAATAGGAAATATGTGGAAACAACCCAAATGCCAAAAATAGATGACTGGATCAAGAAAATGTGGAATACTATACACAATGGAATACTATTCAGCAATCAAAAAGATAAAACTACCACCACTCACAGAAACATGGATGGAACTAGACAGCATTATGCTCATTGATATTATGGTCGGTGATGTCAGAAGAAAAAAAAATATTGGATGGTCACTTATAAGAGGAATATAGGGAAACCAAACAAAGAATTGGGGGGGGGGATGTGAACAATAAAAAAAAATGAACAGGAAACTATAAATCAAACATTCTGCAAGGAAGGGGGAGGCAGAGGGGTCAAAACAAGAGTGAAAAGAACACATGGCTCTATGGTGATGGTGCACTGGTGAAATGGTGGTGGGAATTGTATGGGACTACACCAAAGAAAAGGAAGCAAACACTGTACAAAAATGAACAATGATGTAAAATATACATAAATTATTTTTAAAAATATGCTGAGAGAAAAAAAATGTAAGAGAGTACATATTACACTATTCCATTTATACAAAAATATGAAACCGAGAAGACAGGTGGTTCCTAGTAATGAAAGTAAAAATGACTTACTACAACAGAGTAGAAGTTTTAGGGATGATGGAAATATCCCCTATCTTGACAGTAGTAATAAAAATAATATTCTCTTCACTCTGGGTTGTGGTGACAGGGGAATAGATATTTGTTCAAACACACCAAACTGTGTATCTTAAATATATACATTTTACTTTACAATTAATATCTTGAATAAAGTTGATTCTTTAAAAGGGGATACTCTTGGGAAAATAGCCAGAAATTATTGTTCATGCCCTTATACTAAAGAGTTAAAAAAAAAATCAATAAAATTCAATATATATTTACGGTTTTTAAAAATTTCAACAGAAATTAAAATACAAAATTAGAAAGCCAGAAATAGAAAACACTTTAATATTCTCTCAGAAAACATTAGCAATCATAATTGATGCCAAAACATCAACCACACTTGAAGTTTTTAGTTTTCATTACTAGTATTCAATATTACACAGGATATATAACAGTCAAATCATCCACGAAGACAACCGAGTTATAAAAATTGAAAAGGAAGTCAAGAGCTGAGTATCTTCAATCAACACAACAGACATTTGACTCTCGATAAACAGAAAATTCAAAGTTTTCACATAACTCGAAGAGTAGAAAATGTTACTTTCCATTCACCCAATCATTAAAACAATAATGAATATTAAGAAAGGATGTCTTGCATATAGAGAAAAAAGCCTATAAATGTAGCCATAACTTAAGACTTAAGTTATGACTCATTAACAAACCAGTTCTCTCCAAATGAACCTTAAATTTTAATATAAGTTCACTCAAAATATCTAAGAATTTTTAAATTTACAAGTTAACTCTAAAGTTCATCTGGAGAAGAAATGCGTAAGAAACAGTCAAGAGTGATTTTAAAGAGTAATAAGGAGGAAGAAATGGTTAGCATCGTTTTAAATATGTTTAATCTTACCCTTTAACCTAGCAACTCTATTTCTAAGAATGCGCACTCCAAAAATAGTCACCCAAGTTTACTCATAGGATGAAGGTAGACTAGAAGGTAAGTGGAAGCTGTACATTTTACTTCACATTCTTCCTTATATTTGTTTTTTTAATATATAATATCGTATTTAATTAAAAACTAATCTGCAAATTTAAAAGTTGGTTTCAAATAAGACAAATCTGTGATGCCAAAAAGAAACTGCAATTATCCTAAATATCAGTAAGGAAATGGTTAAAGCACAGTCCATTCACACCAATGGAATACTATGTAATCTTAAAAAAAAATTATTCGGGAGATATGTATAACAAGATGTCCAAGAAATGTAATTAATAGAAAAACCAAGTGACAAACCAACGTGTCGGGTAACCTCTAACTCTTAAAAAACAAAACTGCATGTTTGTGTGTCTGAAAGTGCATTTAGAAAGATGTACATTAAGATGCTAACCCCAAACATTGAAGTGGAACTAGAGGATATAAGGAAATTTTCATGTATTAATAGTACTTTTTTGTTTGATTTTTTACATCAAGTTTACATGTCTGTAATAAATTCTTAAAAGGTTTTTTCATGTAAAATTGACATGACTTCCAGGAGACAATCACAGAACTAATATAGTTTAAACGTTTGTTTCCGTTATCTTTGTGTTTATTTACATACTCATCACATGATCCATAGTCTTCGGCAGAGGTGACTGCCGTTTAATAGAAATGTAACTGACCAACTAGTAGTATATGATAAAATAACAATATATTAAGCCTTAGCAAATGCTGAACTTCAACAGAACCAGCAAGTTCAATCAAAGCAGCGTCGACGCGATGTAAAAAAATTTGAATGCATGGAGAGGGAAATCTTATCTGATTATTCGTCCTCCCTGTAAGAATTACTATTTACTCCCTCTCCTTTTAGTCAACTTGGTCTGAGCGCTTTAAACACACCATTTTGAATGTGCGCAAAATGATTAACCAGCAGTGATCTTAGGGAGGCCAGAACCGAGTGTGCATCCGCCAGAGGCGTGCTCTGACCTGACATTGCTAACCCGGAGCAGCATTGATGGAATGGTGCTGATATCCCGAGAAAAGCGACTGCTGTGGTTGTACAAGGTGTCCGTGTGCTCCAGCCTCGGTGACAATCCGGGGAAATGGAAATCCACCGGTGGAGCGAAGCAACGGAAGGTTTTTCGGGGGAGGGGGCTGCAGGCCTGTGGCGTAAGATGGATCAGCTCTATGCCCAGGACTTGAAATGAACAGAGGGAGCGAGTGGGATGTGTTGGTGGGGGACACACGCTTAGTCAGTCGTGAGTGTGGGGCGGGAGACAGCGGGGTCCTTGGCTAAGGCACCAAGGACAGCACAGAGACTGCAGGAGAAGCGGCGGTGGAGACCCCCTCACCAGCCGGTGCCATCAGTCGGGGGCAGTGCGCACAGCGGCCCCCGACTCGAGCGCGGCCCCAGGTCCCGGCTGGACAGGGCCCAGAAGGCGGAGAAGGCCTCTCCCTGCCGTCAACCCCACCCACCATGGCCGGCGCAGCGGGCCAGGGACAGGCCCCGCTCCTTCCCCGGGAGAAAAACTAAGACATGGAAGAGGGGCAGGCAGCAATTTCCTCGCCCCGACCCTCACATTCCCGAGAGCAGAATAAGTCAGATTTAAAAAAAAAAAAAAAAAAAAAAAAACCCTCACCGAAATGTGCAGCGGCTCCGGAGCGAGAACTGCGCTCGATCCTCCACCCGCCACCACCGCCTTCTTCTCCGCCTCCGACTCCACCCCCGCGGAACGCGCAGCGGCAGGCGGCGGCGGCGGCGGCGGCGGCGGCGGCGGCGGAAGCAGAGGCGGAGGCGGCGCGTCCCGCCCCTTGCTCCCCGGTAAAAGCGAGAGAGTAGAGCGTTCAAGGCCCGCCCCTAAAACAGCACCGACCAATAGACTTACAAGATCTCTGAGGGAAAAAAATCCACCTACCCAATCGGAACCTGAAGAGTGGGATTACGTCAATAGTTGGGACGTGGCAGAAAAAGGGAAAATACTTGGACTCTCTACGCCACGGTCCGCCATCTCCCTCAGGGGAGCTTCGCCGATTGGCCAGAGAGCGGAAGGACGACATCCTTGTTGGCCCGCCCCTCAGCAACCCGGCCCGCCTCCTTTTCCTGCAGCACTGCGACGTTTGGGGAGGGGGCGGGGCACGGTGCTGGGGCTGGAGCTGCACTGCCTTTTGTGGCTTGAGCTGGGAGAAAAGGGCGGGGTCTCAAGGAAAGAGAAAGGGGTGTGGAGATCTAAGGGAAGAATTGGCGTAGCTAGACTTTCAGAAATTTCTACAGTAGCACCAAAATGGAGGCAATAGAATCAGTCTTATTGTACTGGAAACCTAACTGACAAGATTAAGGTCTACTGGCGTAAAGTTTTATCTGTTGCAATTCGGATATGGGATATATATAAGGAAAACAGCACACTGAGAAAGGTCATATTTTGCCCACCCTGCTATTGAACCTCTTCTACCTTCTCACGCAACAGTCCAAACGCTTGACCCCTCATTTGCATCTTGAGGCTGGTCGATTGTCAAGCCTGGAAGTAACAGTTCCCATCACAAGCAACCAAAATAAATGCAACAGCTGATGGCCCTAGACACCTTTCTTAATTTAAACCCGGGGAACAGTTTAGTTAATCATATCAGTCAAGCTAAATTGCTTTTCCGTCGACGGCACACGTGTCCTCTTTTTTTTCACCCTGAACCTGGCGGCTTCTCTGATTACAGTCCGGCTCTCCTCCCATCTTTTTCACAATTCCTTCTACCCCCACCACGCTCAGGCTCTGTGCCCAGGATATATTTATCGTGTTCCCTCCTCCAAGAATTAAGGTCTCTTGCTTCTTGTGCTGTCCCTAGCAACTGCAAAATTTCCTACCAGGGAACAGAGACTTTGGTGTGTGAGGGGTTTTTTTTGTTTTTGTTTTAATTTTTTTTGCTATTGATGAAAAATATCCAAAATTTACTATTGAAAGTTAGGTTATAAGGATTTGCTAGACATTTTGTGATACCAAATCTGTCTCAGTTCGACTCTGTAGGTCATTTCTATCAAGAGACAACTTGCCACTGGGTATTTCTGTATTTTACATATGTTGCATTGGAAGCTGTGGCTCCTTCATTTAAGTCCTTTTTGAAGAAGAATTCATACTTCAATCACATTTCTCTAGTTTCCCTTTAAGATGTTACATATAGATCCAATGAGAAACAATAACCTGTTGTTGGGGCAGGGTTTTCCATAATTCAATCTTTTTCACACCACATCTGTGTATATCCTTGCAGTATTTAGTCTCTTTAAATAAATATTTCTCCTCAGTTTAAGAGGAGAAATTTACAGAAGCACTGTAAGTGGAATACCTGCATCATCTACAAGTTAAAAGTAAGAAAAGTGAACATAAAGCAATATTTTAACATTTTGACTAGAAATTATTGTCCACTAAAGTCTCTGACACCAAAGCCCACCCCCTGTTAAAAGGTGTTACCAAGCATTAGATACATGTTAAAGAAAAGGTATGTGATTGATGCATTTTTATCATGATATAATCAAGGAATAGAAAAATAGAACCAAAACAGGAATCACTTTCTCACTGTGTGAATCATTGTTTTTATTCCTGTGTGTCCTAACTGATGCCATCCAAGATCTTTGGGAAATATCACTGCAAGGCTTAAATCATGTATTGTACAGACCATACTATAAGAATGCCCTATATTTATAATCTCCGTGCTTTTGAATGATCTATTTACCTCTCTGGTCTTAACTTCCAATTTAAATATGAGGAAAGGGATGAGTTGTAAGCATTAAATAACCTAATAAATGTGAACTACATCATATCTAGCATGTAGTATTATTATGTGTACATAGAGGTAATTATAGTTACTGATGATTTACTTTGACGTTTTCATTCCAGAGGTGGGAAATACTTTCAAAAATTTGAAGTACCACATTTTTTAATATCATGGTCTTAAGGAGTGGTCAGGTCAAGAACAAGAGCATTATCTGGGGATATTTTCAAAATGCAAATTATCAGGTATTTTCAGCCTCAGACCCCAATTGAATACTCTAGGTATGAGGACCATACATTTGTATTTTAGCAAACCTTCCAGGTGATTGTGATATACAAATTTTGATGGCCACACATATTATATAAAGAAGACTAATCAAGGAGTGAGGGAACCTGAGTTCCTATCATAGTCTGAGACTGATATCAACAAAGATGAAAAAACAAGCACCTCCAAAAATCTGTTTTTCCATAAAAGCAATGAGTAAACTTCTATAATGTCAGAATCAACTATTTAGAACCCTGGAAATTAACCAGACTTTGAAAAATCCAATAAGTATTTATTCAAGAAAAATAACCAAATCTCAGTAAGAACAGAGAACTTTATGTTTTTACTTATTCTACTTTCATTCTCTCATCTCAAACTGTACCTCTGAAAACAGTAGCCAGCCATCATGTTGAAAATTAGCAACCTTGCGCCCACCTGATGAGGAAAATGACACTGGAGTCCCTTCAAAACGTTTCCAAGATAGTAGTCACTATTTACCAAACCATCCCTAGAATATCTCATTTGGTGAACTATATTTATTTGATTTGATTCAAAGCTAACTTAATGAAAAAAGTCTTATCCCCTCAAGTTTTTGTCAGAAATTGTGTGAAGGAATCAACTTGGCTGCCTCTTTAAGCAAAAACAGATGGGGCAAACAATTGGTCAAACAAAATTCATAAAGGAAAACTAGACTGTGGGAAATTTGAAAGGTGCCAACATTCAGATATCTACATACATCCCATGGGATTTTTGAAAGCTGTGGAAAAGCTCAAGATAGACCTAAGAATGTCCTAAGCTTTCATGCTAAGGTCATCTTGAGATTCTGCCTAAACAAGAAGTAAAGAATAAGTGACAGTTATAAGTAGCCTGGCTTTGGTGTTGAAGCCATGTTCAAACATACACATAAGCACACACTCATCAAATGCTGGGAGGAGGCATATTGATTCTAGACATATAAGAAAGTCTCTGCCTAATCATTAGCTTATGCAAAGCAGAAACGTCCATGTCCACATACAAATAAAAAATATGTGCTTTACAGAAACAATTAAAAAAAAAAGCACCAAAAAAAAAAAAAAAAAAAAAAAAACAAAAAAAAGGAAAAAACCCGGAAAAAAAAAAGAACCGAAAATCAAAAGTTTCAAGGTAAAAAAATGTCTGTTTTTCAATAAAATGAAACACTTGTTCTTCAGAAATTTGAACGAAATTGACAGCACTTACCTAGAATGAGCAAGAAAAAAATGACTCACATAAAAGTCAGTAAAAGAGAAAGCATACAGTGCCAACCTAACATTAACAAATAAGTTAATCTAAGGGAAAAATAGAATATTTGTATGCTAACAGGTTAGAAATCCTTAACAAAATGTTTGAACTTTTTCAAAAGGCATGAACAATAAAAACTGACTTATGAAGAAATAGAAAATTTAATATTAGTCTTGTCATGTATGAAATGAATGACCTTGGTTGATGATTTGAATTCTTTGAGTATTTGTTTCTTGAGCTAGAAAAACACTAAGTAAAATACACTTAGTAAAATACTAAGTATGACATAGCATTAAAATGAGGTGATTATAGAAAGGTTACACTAGTTAATGTAACTCTAGCCAGTGTAATAAGTAAAATTTTCAACAAAACACAAGATCGTTTATTATTTAAAAGCTCATTTTGTAGGATGAGTGGGAAATTCTGCTTATACATTCATGAACCTGAACTCTGTCATCTTCAATTAAGTGTTTTCTTTCTAAGCCTGAACACCAATAACTAGCGTAAAGTATTGAGAAGCATGATGAAAAAGAATGTGAAGCTTTTATTGATCTACCATGGAAGTTGCCTAATCATTAATTATTACAATCTCCCAGCAGTTCACCTTGAACCTATAGAGGCTCTTTTAGGCTATGTAAAAATTAGTCTATTTCATTTTTGTCCTTACTATTAGATATTGCACTAGGGTAAGGTTCTAACTCTTAGAGTGTCATAGTTCTGTACTTTCTTCTGAAAACCTGGGATCATTATCAAGATCCCTCAATTTCAACAGGATTTAAATTTCTATCTTCAACTCCCAGACCATGTGACTGCTACTTCTTTATGATTTCAGTTGCTGTTAGGGTTGCAGGTAAATTTCCTGCAATTTTGCTATGTGCACAGACATTTTTTTATAATAGTTTATTTTTACATCATTTTATACATTTTTTTATCTCAATTGTAATCCCTGTGGGTTTCCCATCACCAAGTCACCCATGTGCCATCACCATAATCCCATGCATTTCCCTCCCCTCCCCTCCCTCTCTCCCCCCCCCTATTTTTGATCCCATTCCCCACTCCACTCCCACAAAATGTCTCTGGAATATGGCTGTTCGTTGTTCTCATTATTTTCTCGCCTGGTCCATTATACTCCTGCTATGAGCAAAACCCTTTTCTTTTACTTTCTGGCTTATCTCACTAAGCATGATCTTTTCCAGATCCATCCAAGTTGCTGCAAAAGACATATGTTTCTTTTTTTGGTTGCTGTGTAATATTCCATTGTGTATATGTGTGTATACACATATACATTGTGTGTATCTTTTTAATCCAGTCATCTACTTTTGGGCATTTGGGCTGCTTCCATGTTTTTCCAATTGTAAATAAAGCAGCAATAAACATGG